CCCTTCTCGAGGTCCCGGAGCCCCCCCAGTGATCCCCCCAGGCGGAGGCAAACTGGAGCCGTCCCCAGGGCTCTCGGGGAAAGCGGATATTCCTCCGGCGGGGGGAAGCCCTCGGGGCCGGGGGGGGCGGCTGGATTCCATTACCGGCGGCTCCCGCCCGGCCCTGGCGGTCCCAGGGTCTCCGGGGCCGCGTCGGTGAAGTGGGGAGGGGGCAGGGTCCTGCGCCCACCCTCGGGAGAGGCAGGACACGGCCCTGGGAATGGCGCCAGGGGTGATGGGCGCCTGCCAAGTGTCCACCTGGAGATACCAGAGCCTTCCTCCCCCTCCTCCTCCTCCTCCTCTTCCCCAGGGAAGGTGTAATTCCACCCTTGCTGCTCCTGGACGAGCTCCCGGGGTGCAGGATCACAGCCCGGGCGTGGGGGTGAAGCCAACCCTGAGCCCTGGCTCCCTTTTCCATCCCCCCGCCATCACCGCTCGGTGGGGCAGTGCCCCCCACCTGCCCCACAGCCGCCCGGGTGGGGGGCACTGCCCCCGAGGGGTCCCGGCCGGTTCTGGGGGAGCCGAGCTGGGCAGGGAACAGGGGACAGCGGCACCCCAAACCTCGAGGCAGGGCAGTCCTGCACCCCGACCCTCCCTGCACCCCCCGTATCCTGGGCTAATTAATGCCATCCCATGCAGGGCAATTATCGGGCAGCCCGGTAATTAATAAACCCACATAACAAACCCACGGGTGCCCCCGCCCCAGCCGGGTTGGGGTCTCATGCTGAGAGCTGAGGCAGAGCCCAACACCCCGGCCCCACGCTGCGCTCCGTGCCCCACAGTCACCCCACGGTCACCCCACGGTCACCCCGGAGCCACCACCCGCTTCCCACGCCGGGCTGTGCCAACCCGGCTGCCGCCCTCGCCCCCGGCCCCTTGCGCAACGGCCGGGAGCGGATGTGGGGAGCAGGAGCCAGGGCAGGGATTTGGGGTGCGGGATCCGGGGTGTGGGATCTGGGGTGCGGGATTTGGGGTGCGGGATTTTGGGTTGTGGGATTTGGGGTGCGGGATCCAGGGGAGGGATTTGGGGTGTGGGATCTGGAGTGTGGGACCTGGGGTGTGGGATCTGGGGTGCAGGAGCCAGGGAAGGGATCTGGAGTGTGGGATTTCGGGTGTGGGGTTTGGGATCTGGGGGGTGGGATCTGGGGGGTGGGATTCAGACTGTGGGATCTGGGGTGCGGGATGCAGGGTGTGGAATCCAGGGTGTGGGATCTGGGATGCAGAATCCGGGATGTGGGATCTGGAGTGCGGGATCCGGGCTGTGGGATTTAGGGTGCAGAATCTGGGCTGTGGGATCTGGAGTGTGGGATCCAGGCTGTGGGATCTGGAGTATGGGACTTGGGGTGTGGGATTTGGGGTGCAGAATGTGGGGTGCAGAATTCGGGGTGTGAGATTCAGACTGTGGGATCTGGGATGCACAATCCCAGGCTGTGGGATCTGGGGTGTGGGATTTGGGGTGCAGAATTCAGGGTGCAGAATTCAGGGTGTGGGATTCAGACTGTGGGATCTGGGGTGTGGGATTTGGGGTGCAGAATGTGGGGTGCAGAATTCGGGGTGTGAGATTCAGACTGTGGGATCTGGGATGCACAATCCAGGGTGTGGGATCTGGAGTGCAGAATTTGGAGTGCAGAATTTGGGGTGTGAGATTCAGACTGTAGGATCTCGGGAGCAGGATTCAGGGTGTGGGATCCGGGGTGCAGATCTAGAGTGCAGAATCTGGGATGTGGGATCCAGAGACCCAGGGTGTGGGATCTGTGTGCCAGTGGGGCCAGGAGGAGAGACAGGGATACCACAGGGGGGTCACAGGACATTTATTGAAAAAGGGGGGAGGCAACAGAGGGAGGTTGGACCCTGGCGGGGGCTGGGACCTGGCACTGCCCCATGCTGGGGGGGTTTGGTGTTCCCATCTGGTACCATATTCACAAATAAATACTGGGGAGGGGTCGCGGGGCAGGGCTGGGGGCTGCGGGAACCAACAGCAGCCCGAACCCAAACCAGCTCAAACCAGCCCAAAAGGCAGGGAGGGGCCGCGTTACCCCCCGCCGCACCCCGGCTCCGCGCCAGGCCCCGAGCGCAGCAGAGCGGGGCCAGAACGGGACCGGAGATTCCGCTGCTCCCGGAGAGCCCCGCCCTGCAGGGGGAGGGAAATCCGTGTGTGTGTGACCCCCCAAAAAAAGGGGGTTCGCTGCTGTACCCCCGCGGGGGGATGCAACACCCCCCCTGTGACAGGGGGATGAGTGCAGGGGATTGAGGGGACACGGGGTGGGGGAGAGGGGATATTGGGGAGGGGGTCAGCTGAGCTGGGGAGTCACTCCCGAATGTAGACCCTGGTGCAGACAACGTCATCGGCCGTCATGGTCTGCAGGGAGAAGCGGGGTCGGTCACAGGCGCGGCCGTGCCCCCTCCTGTCCCCTTCTCTCTCCTCCTGTCCCATCCACCCCCTCCTGTCCCCATCCCGTCCTGTCCCCCTCCTGTCCCTCCTGTCCCATCCCTCCCCTCCTGTCCCATCCACTCCCTCCTGTCCCCATCCACCCTCTCTTGTCCCCTTCCCCCTCTCCTGTCCCTTTCTCCCCCTCCTGTCCCCATCCCGTCCTGTCCCCATCCACCCTCTCCTGTCCCCTTGCCCCCCTCCTGTCCCCTTGCCCCCCCTCCTGTCCCCTTCTCCCCCTCCTGTCCCCTTGCCCCCGTCCCGTGCCCACCCCAGCGGGCAGCTCTGCCCCCAGGGTCCCGATGCCCTCACCAGGATGAGCTCCCCGTCGTTGCTCATCTCCCGGGACCAGCCTGTCCTGGGCCCTTCGCCCTTGAGCAGCCGCTGCTCACACACCATCTTGTTCTCGCTCTCCCACCTGGCCAGGCTCTGGGGGCACAGAGGGCAGAGCTGGGTGGGCAGGTGGGCACCCCCGGGGCACCCCCGGGGCAGCACCCCCGAGCATCTGTCCCCACCGACAGACAAGGAACGGGGCAGTTTGTCCCTGTGCCAGGCGGGTGGGTGGGCTCGCCTGGCACCGGGGGGGCACAGGGAGGGGATGGGGGCACAACGGGGTCTGGGGGGTACAAGGAGGGTTTGGGGCGTGCAATGAGGGGTTGGGGGCACAGGGAAGGGACTGGGGGCACAGAGAGAGGTTGAGTGGCACAACGAGGGGATGAGGGGCACAACGAGGGGTTGGTGGGCACAGGGAGAGGTTGAGGGGCACAAGGAAGGGTTGGGGGCACAGGGAGGGGATGGGGGGCATAGGGAAGGGATTGAGGGGCACAGGGAAGGGGTTGAGGGGCACGGGGAGAGGTTCAGGGGCACAATGAAGGGTTGAGAGCACAGGGAGGGGATGGGGGACCCGGGGCAGGGATTGGGGGTGCAGGAGGGGATGGGGAGCTCAGGAAGGGCCTGGGGGGCACAAGGAGAGGATGGGGTGCAGGAGGAGGGGAAGCAGCTGGGGGGAGAAGGGGCTGTGCACACAGACAGACACACAGACACGTGAGAGCTCCTGGCCTCGTGCCAAACGTGTGTGCAAACTCACTGTGCACACACACACACACCTGTGTGCACAGCAGTGCTGGGCGTGCCCCGTGTGATGTGTGTGCAGTGTGTGTGCACAGGGGTGTGTGACACAGGGGAGGGACAGCTGCTGTCCTGGTGCAAGTGTGCACACACACACAGACACAGACAGACACACAGACACACACATATAGCCACACACAGAGACACACACAGTCACACACAGTCTCACATGCTCACACTGACACACACACTCACACACAGTCTCACACTCACAGACACACCCACACTAATACAGTCACACTCTCACAGCCACACTCACACATCCACACAGACACACTCACACCCTCACAGTCTCACAATCACACACCCTTAATCACACTCACACAGAGACTCACACTCACACACACTCAGACACACTCACAGGGTCTCACACTCACACACAGACCCACACTCACACACTTTCACACTGACACACACATTCTCACACACTCTCACACATACTCAGTCTCACATGCTCACACTGACACATTCACACTCTCACACCCACACTCTCAAAATCTCACACCCATACACCCACGCTTCCACACTCACACACTTACACTCACTCACATATTCACACACTCTCTCACTCTCACACTCACACTCTCACACTCACTCTCAGACTCTCACTCTCACTCTCACTCACACACACTCACACTCTCACACTCACACTCTCACACTCACACTCACTCTCCGTCTGACCCGTGTGCAGCCCCGCGCGTTTCCCCGCCGCACCTTGCAGGGCCGCCCATCCACCGTCTGCTCCTCGAACTCCTCGCCCACCCTGAAGCAGGGGCACAGGGAAGGGGTTGAGGGGCACGGGGAGAGGTTCAGGGGCACAATGAAGGGTTGAGAGCACAGGGAGGGGATGGGGGACCCGGGGCAGGGATTGGGGGTGCAGGAGGGGATGGGGAGCTCAGGAAGGGCCTGGGGGGCACAAGGAGAGGATGGGGTGCAGGAGGAGGGGAAGCAGCTGGGGGGAGAAGGGGCTGTGCACACAGACAGACACACAGACACGTGAGAGCTCCTGGCCTCGTGCCAAACGTGTGTGCAAACTCACTGTGCACACACACACACACCTGTGTGCACAGCAGTGCTGGGCGTCGTCTGACCCGTGTGCAGCCCCGCGCGTTTCCCCGCCGCACCTTGCAGGGCCGCCCATCCACCGTCTGCTCCTCGAACTCCTCGCCCACCCTGAAGCGGATCTCGGTGGTGCGCACGGGGGTCGAGGTGCGGATGTAGAAGCTCTCCCCGTCCTGCCGGATCTCCACGGCCGGCTTGGCCGCCGCCGCCACCGCGATCTTCCTCAGCATCACGTTCACTCCTGGAGAGGGGCACGGTGGCACCGAGCTGCCCCCCGCCCCCGCGGCGTGCCCGGTGACCGGGGGGACCCCTCGGCAGTGACACATCCCGGGGCACGGCGAGGGCTGCAGGTGGCTCCGGGCTACCCTGGGGTGGGGGACGGGCGAGCCCCCCCGGCACCGCTGGGCCACATCTGGCTCTCGTTACCTGGCGGAGGGGGCGGGGGTGGCGCCGGATGCGCCCGGGGGAAGGGACGGGGGTGACGGGGGCAAGGCTCACCCAGAGCGGGGTGACAGCGGGGACAAGGGCCCCAGTCCGAGCTCTGTGTTAGGTGACCTGCGTGACCCCCCCCGAGGGTCCCGCGTTCCCCCCCGCAGCCCCCTCGGCAGCCGCGGGCAGCTGGGGCTTTGTCCCCGCTCCAGAGGCGGCTCATCCATCACGTCCCGGAGCCCCCGGCTGTCACGGGGGAGCTGCTTTGGGGACATTGTTCCCGTGTCACCCTCGGGGTGGGGACTGACCCCCAGAGAGGCTCCCCGCACAAAGGAGGCGCCCCAGGCGCAGGAGGGGGGAGATACGGAGGGGCCGGGGGGGGCTCCGGGAGCCGAACCCCCCTGCAGTGGGAAGGGACATGTCCCCGAGGGGTCCCCTCGATGGCCACGCCAAGCCCCCACGAACACCCCCAGGCCTGATTCGCACCGAGGGGTGCCCGAAACCGGGCCAGACACGGACCCCCAAGCCCCCCATGATGCTGACGGGGGTGGGGGAGCAGAGACAGCCCCCAAAGGGAGCAAAACCAAGGCTCGGGCGGTCTGTGGGGTCAGTCCGGGGGCCTGGAGCTGATAAAGCCCCCAGCCCCCGGAGGGAGCAGCCGGGGGGAGCCCCCACTTGCGCCGTGGGAAAGGAGGAAGGCTCCGGGGGGGCTGGCAGATTTATTTTCCTGCTGAGGTTTCCCCGAGCCGGTTCCATCAGCGAGGCCAGGGCGGGGAGAAGGGGCGACGGGGGATCGGGAGTGAAACCCAAGAAAGTGATAATTATCCTGAAATATTCGTTACGTATCCCCTAACCTGGAAAATATTCTGCTCCGGCAGCTCCCCGGCTGGCGAGGAGCGGGTCAGGCGGAGGGGAGCAGTGCGGGAGCTGGATTTGATCCTGCCCAAAGCCCCGGGGACCCCCCGGAGACCCCCCCCTCCCACCTCCAGGCCCTCCCCACCCCCGCTCAGCGGGGACTCAGCTCCGCCGTGGGGGGCAAAGGGGCCCGAGATGAGGCCTGGGAGAACGGGACCCCAAAACCCCCACAAACGGGTCCTGCCCTGACTGGTTTTGGGGACACCGGCTGTACCCAGGGTCCCCGGGGCAGGTGAGCCCGCGGGAGCTTTTGGGATGGGGGGCGGGGGGGATTGGGGTGGTGCGGGTCCAGGTTTGGGGGAGCACCAGAGTGGGGAAACTGAGGCAGGAAAGAGGGGCACCCGCCCGCCCCCCTCGTGTCTCTGACTCCTCCGTGGGGCACCGAGAGCTTCGCTAAAAGGGGGAGCAGAGGGATCCCCGCGGCGCACGGCGGCTCCGGGCACCGGCACTGCCCGGCTGGAAGAGGATGTGGAGGGGAGATGGGGAGAATGTTGGGGGGAATGTGGGGGGGAATGTGGGGAACCCCGCCGCCCCCCGCCCGAGGGAGCGCCGGAGAGCGGGATCACTCACCCAGCGCCTTCAGCAGCTCCTCAAAATTCTCCGAGCTCTTCATCTTCCAGTTCCCGGAGAAGTTGGGCATCGCGGCTGCCGGCCTGGGGGGCGCAGGGAGGGGAGCGAGGGGGGAATGAGCGGTTCCCGGGATCCGCCGCTCCCTCGGCACCGGCCCCGCCGCTGCTTCGCTCCCTCCGTCCGTCCCGTCCCGCCCGCGCCGCCGTTTTATCGCCGGGCTGGTCCCACCCCCCGGCCCCGGCCCCGGCCCGGGGGCTCCGCGCTCACCTGCGGAGTGAGAGCCCAGGGGAGCCCCCCGCCCCGATTTGCCGGCTGGAGGCACCACCCGGGCTGCCTGTGCCCCCCAAATTCCTCTCATCCCCCCGGGATCCGCACCCTGCTCATCTCCCTGGATCCCCCGAATCTCCAGCATCCCCCCCGAAACTGTGCTGAACCCCACACGTGCTGAACCCCCCAAATCTGTCTGTACCCCCCAAGCCCCCTGTACCCTTCCGATCTCCATGTGTCCCCCCACAGCCGCGTGCACCCCCAAATCTCGCCGCACCCCCCGAGTGTGCACAGGACACGCGTGTTTGCACAGCTGTGGTGCTGGCACGGGCGTGTGCAGGTGCCTGTGCTCGCTTGTGCACACGTGGGCTTGATCCACGGCTTTCCCAGCCTCACCATCACGCACAACTCACAAACTCACAAACTCACACACAAATGCACAAATTCCCAAACTCACAGACTCACAAAACTAACAAAATCACTCACAAACTCACTCTCAAACTTACGAATTCACTCACAAACTCATCCCAAACTCACTACAAACTGCCACCCGTGTCTGTGCACACTCGTGGGGCTGTGGCCGAGCTGCCCGGGGCAGGTGAAACCCCGCTCCCAGCCAGGTAAGGAGCGCCTCGAGAGGGATTTCCCGAGCTTTCTCAGCCCTGGGAACCGCCGCGGGAAGGGCAGGCTGTGCCGCGGGGCCGGTTCTGGGCAAGAAAAGCAAGAAATGGCGTTTCTGGTTCAGCAGGAGCTCTGGAATGGAAGGAGAGAGGCTTCTTCTCCGATTTGGTGTGAAAAGGCCCCACAGAGCCCCCCGTGGCCCCCCTCCTCCTGGCCACATCCCCCCCGTGCCCCCAGAACCTCCGGCTGGGGCCGGCGAGCCAAGTCCCGGCTTGCCGCATCCCTAATCCCCTGAAGAACAGGAATTCTGACACAACCTCACCTACAGCAGCGCCAGGGCCGTGCCACGGGGCACAGGGACAGCGACAGGGACAGGCAGCGCTGCAGGGGCCCGGGGAGGGGGTGCTGGTGAAGGGTCACCCCAAACCCTTCACCCCAGGGACGCAGGAGTCACGGGAGGGGCGGTGCTGTGGGTTTGCTCCGAATCTGGGGAAAATGGGGAGGAAAAAAAAGCATCTCCATGCCAGGGTAAGTGGGTGGAGGGGTCTGGAACGGGATCTGCCTGCAAACCCCGAGGGCACCCCCGTGCCCCTCGTCCCGTGCTGGGCACCGTGACCCAGTGGGGGACGCCGGCACCGGCAGCCCCACATCTGGAAGGGATTCTGCCGGGAAGGGCGGATAAAGCCTTCGCACCCCACCCTCCTCTCCCTCCCTCCCTCCCATCCTGGTGAAGCCCTGGAGGGGCAGGCGAGCCACTGGCCCCAAATAACCCCCCCGGAGCGCCGGTCACCCCTGGGAAAGGGCGCAGAGTCTCTGGGAGCCGTGTGCCGGTGCCAGGGCAGCAGCAGCAGCTGGCTCAGCCTCCGGAAACATCCGGCACCATCCACCGCCCGCACCCGCCTTCCCGGCAAAAATCCTCACAAACCGCAGAAATCCTGAGCGCAAACCCTGGGGGGGCTCCCCCAGCCCGGGCAGGGCTCCATCGCTGCCCCGGTACCCCCGAGGGCCCCCCCAAAACGCTGTCGGTGCCACAGAGCCCCTCCTGCGAGGATGGGGGCGTCCTTGGGGATGTTCCCCCCTCCCCGTGCCCGGGATCCACCCCGGGAGGGGCTGTCGGGTACCCTCACCCCAAACAGGAGCCGAAGTTTTGGGGGTCACCCCAATTTGAGAGAGAAGATCGGGGGGCTCCTCTGTGGGGGGTGAAGCTGAGCAAGGGCAGGTCACCCCTGCTCTCCGCCCATTGTCCCCACAAATCCTCCCCAGCTGGCGGGACGCAGCCCCCACCCCCCGCCTCTGGCCACGGCCACGGCCGCTGCGGAAATGAAACGCAGCTGGACGGCGCGACCGAGCCCGGCCCGGCCCCGTGGCCGAGAGACCCCCGGCTGTGGGGCGGGAGGGAGCCCACGTGCCCCGGGACCTCTGCTGTGCCGCCCCGGCGGGGCCCTGCCCTGCCCCGGACCCTCACGCAGCTCCAGGACCCTCACTCAGCTCCAGGACCCTGCCCTGGTTCTGGACCCTCACTCAACTCCAGGACCTCCCTGGCCCCAGACCCTTACTCAGCCCCAAGACCCTGCCCAGGTTCTGGACCCTCACTCAGCTCCAGGACCCTGCCCCAGTCCCTCACTCATCTCCAGGACCCTCACTCATCTCCACGACCCTGCCCCAGTTCTGGACCCTCACTCAGCTCCAGGACCCTGCCCTGCCCCAGACCCTCACTCAGCTCCAGGACCCTGTCCCGCTTCCAGACCCTCACTCAGCTCCAGGACCTGCCCTGCCCCGGACCTTCACTCAGTTCCAGGACCCTGCCCTGGTTCTGGACCCTCACTCAACTCCAGGACCTGCCCTGCCCAGGACCCTCACTCAGCCCCAGGACCCTGCCCTGGTTCTGGACCCTCACTCAACTCCAGGACCTCCCTGGCCCCAGACCCTTACTCAGCCCCAAGACCCTGCCCAGGTTCTGGACCCTCACTCAGCTCCAGGACCCTCCCAGGACCCTGACCCAGCCCAATTCTGGGACCCTTGCCCAGCCCCGGGACCCTTGCCCAGCCCCGGGAACCCACCCCCTGCTCCAGCCCCATCCGGAGGGACCCCAGGGTGAGATCGAAACGATCCCCAGACCCTGACCCGCATCCCGCACCCGCCGGGGGCTGGGGCCCGGCCGGCTGCTTCTCATTTCCAGGGCCATAAACCCCTTTAACGACCGGCCATTTATAACCGCTGCAAAGCCCCTAATCACCGCCAGACCCAGCCCAGACACAAAGGCTCCCGCCTGCTCCTCCGCCCTCCCACCTTCCTCTGCATTTTGGGGCTCGGACAGCTTTTCCCACCCCCACCCGGGCCGTAGGGACGAACCCCCCAAGCTCCCGGCCCGTGGGATGCTCGGGCGTTTCTCTCCAGCGCTACGGGGGGACCCAAATCCTGGTTTTTATCCCAAAAAAAGGAGGAAGGGCCCCTCCTGCTGTACCCCCAAAACCCTCCCTCGGGCTCCAGCGCCCCGAGCCAAGCGCAGCCACGTAAACACGAGGAAAGGCTGGAAAAAGTGACGCACGGCGGGGGCTCGGGGCCGCGGCCAGCCCGGCGGGGGCGGGGGATGCCCCGGGCTCGGCACCGGCTCCGCTCCCGGTTACGGCAACACCGGGGAGCCGCCGGGGGTTCGGGCAGAAAAGGGGGTGCGGGGGGGTCGGGGAAGGGGCCAGCTCGGCCCCGGCAGGAAGAGGAGGCGGAGGAAGAGCAGATGTCGGAGGGTGCCGGGTGACGGCCCGGTAAGGGACCCCCCGCTCCCGCCCACCGGGGCAGGGGGCTCCTCCTCGTCCCCAGCGAAGGGAAGATCTCTTTAATCATTTCTTTTTAATTAGGATTTTGCACATAAAGCTTTCAGTTCAAAGCAGTTCCCGTCAAGGCTCGGGCGCCTCCAGGGTACGGCTGCCCTCGGGGGGGACTCGCCCGCGGGACCCCCGGGGTCGCCCCCGGGGCAGCACGGGGGGGCTCGGGCAGGCGGATGGGACCATGCCCGGCTTTATCCCGCTCCTTGCACAAAAAGGTGGAGTTTCACCACCCTAAAGCAGCTGCCAGAGCGGAGCGGGGACTTTGCAGAGGGACCCGAGTCCCGCCGCAGTCGCGGCAGCTCCCGGGGCTCACAGAGGTAGTTTTGGGGGGAGGAAGGAGCCCGCTCCACTCCCAGCCCCCCAGGGATGGCGGCTGCGCTTGGGATGCCCCAAGGCCACTCCCAGATCAGCAGCAGCAGCCCCGAAGCGTTCGGGGGGTGCAGAACCCCAGAGACCCCCCCCGGGGGGGAAGGCACTGGCCCCCGGCCCTGCCCACATCCTGGGGACAGCGGCACAAGGCACGACAGGCTTGGGGACACGGACATCACACCTGGCTCCTCCTCAGCCCCCCAGGGCTCATGGGACCCTCGAGGGGCAGGACCGGGCTGGGGGTGTCACTCTGAGCCCCCCCAGAGGCAGGACCAGGCCTGGGGTGTCACTGTGGGATCCCCCAGAGGCAGGACTGTGCTGGGGGTGTCACTCTCAGCCCTCCCAGAGGCAGGACCAGGCCAGGGGTGTCACTCTGAGCCCCCTCAAAGGCAGGACTGGGCCTGTCACTCTGGTATCACTCTGGAAGTGTCACTTGCAGCCCCCCCAGAAGCAGGACCAGGCCGGGGGTGTCACTCTGGGTCCCCCCCAAAGGCAGGATCAGGCCTAGGCCATTACTTGTGGGTCCCTCCAGAGGCAGGACCGGGCCTGTCACTCTGGTGTCACTCTGGGGGTGTCACTGTGGGACCCCCCCAGAGGCAGGACCAGGCCAGGGGTGTCACTCTGAGCCCCCCAGGGTGTCACTTCTGGTCTGGGTTCTGCTGCAGGTGCTGCTCCCACTCCTCCTCCACCACCTTGTAGAGCTCCATGGTGGCTCGGGCATCTTCCACCGAGGAGTGGCCACTCTTCCCCACCTGTGGACACAGACACAGCTTAGCACAGCTCCCATTTTGGGGGGGCAGCCAGAACTGGGAGGGGGGGATGTACAGAGACCAGGGAGTGCAGGCAGCTGTGGGGCAATGCACACAGCAAGGGTGGGGGGATGCAGGGAGTTGAGGGCGTGCAGGAGGATTTGGGGTGCATGATTTGGGGTGGATCAGGGCATATGGGCAGCTCCAGGGGGCTGCAGGGAGACTGGGGGGGATGCCAGCACCTCTGGGGGGGTGCAGGCAGATGCAGGAAGATGAGGGGGTGCAGGCAGAATGGGGGGTATGCAGGTAGATTTGGGGGTACAGGAAACTCTGGGGGATGCAGGGAGCTTAGGGGAGTAGAGGCAGATTTAGGAGAAAACTGGGGAGATGCAGGCAATAGTGTGGGGTGTGCATAAAGGGAAAAGAGCAGGAAAAAATCCCCCAAGGCTGCAGGGGTTGAGCTGCATGATTTGGGGTGGATCAGGGCATATGGGCAGCTCCAGGGGGCTGCAGGCATATTGGGGGATACAGAGAAAACTGGGGAGATGCAGGCAAAGCTGTGGGTTCTGCATAAAGTAAAAAGAGCAAGGAAAAACCCCAAGGCTGCAGGGGTTGAGCTGAGGGTTCCCCCCTCCCAGAGAAGGGAAACTGAGGCACAGGGCTGCCTTGCTCCAGGACTGGCAGCAATGGCTGGACTCAGAGTGCCTCAGACCTTCCCCCTTCCCTCCCCACTGTGTCCCTGGCAGGGTGCAGGGGCTCCCCAGCTCCGGGGGGCTGCAGCCAGGGTACCTGGATGTCCTGGTTCAGCAGGGCCTTGGTGAGGCGCTTCAGGGAGATGGCCACGTTCTCGGGGAAGCCAGCCCTGCGGTTCAGCAGCGGGATCTGCGACGTGTCCCGGGTCAGAGCTTTGGGGTGGCAGTAATGCAGAGCCTTGAAGTCGTTGTGGATGGCGTGGCCCACCACCACCTTCCCAGCCAGGATCTTCAGAACCTGCAGGAGAGGAAGGGGTGAGACCCCCAGCAGTGCCACCCCTGCTCCCGGGGGAAGAGTCTGTCCCTCCCCAGGAACAGGGGCAGCCACATGGGGCAGAGCAGTGGGGCTGAGTGGGTGTGGGGCAGTGTGGGGACAATCCCTGTGCCCCAGGGACAATCCCTGTGCCCCACAGAGCAGAGGGGACAACCCCTGTGCCCACAGCCGCGCACCCCATATCCCCCGTCCCCAGCCCCACATGCCCCATGGCTGCAGCCCCTCACCCTGCAGCCACCCCCTCCCACTCCTGCACTCCCAATCCAATCCCAGGGATTGTCTCCTCCTGCGCTGAGGGGCACAGGGATTGTCCCACGAGCACAAGCATTGTCCCCTCCTGCCCCGTGGGACACAGGGATTGTCCCCCTCTGCCCGGTGTGGCACAGGGACTGTCCCTGCTCTGCCCCGTGGGACACAGGGATTGTCCCTGAGGCACAGGGACTGTCCCTGCTCTGCCCTGTGGGACACAGGGATTGTCCCCACCCTGCTCTGAGAGGCACAGAGATTGTCCCTACACGGCCCCGTGGGACACAGGGATTGTCCCTGAGGCACAGGGTTTGTCCCCCCCTCCATTGGGGGGCACAGGGATTGTCCCTGGAGCACAGGGTTTGTCCCCCCTGCCCTGGGGGGCACAGGGATTGTCCCCCTCTGCCCGGTGTGGCACAGGGATTGTCCCAGGAGCACAGACAATGTCCCCCCCTGCCCTGCAGGGCTCAGCCCCACACCCCCCACCCCCGTGTCCCCAGAGCCCAGCCGCCCCACCGCCGGGTGCCCGCCACCCCCTGCGGCTGTCGCCGTCCCGGACCTGCTGCTGTGCCCTGCGGAAGGGCACGGCCGCGGCCATGTGCTGCCGGCGGATGCCGCTCCAGCGGGTGCGGTAGTCCACGATGGGCTCCTCGGGCCGCACGTAGCGGTCGTACACCACGTCCCCCTCGTAGGTGACAATGCTGCAGCGGGCCAGCGCGCTGGTGCGCCCGCCGGGCCCCGTGCCCACCATCTCACAGTCTATGGCCACCAGCTTGGGGGGCGCCGGGGGGGCACTGCCAGCCGCCCCCCGAGCCTTCCCCGCGCTCCGAGCGGGAGCACCGGGGCCGTTCTGGGCTGCCGGGGGGGCACTGCCAGCCGCCCCCTGAGCTTTCCCCTCGGTGCCGGTGGGGTTCTGGGATACCGGAGGGCACCGGGGGGCGGCGGCAGTGCCGTTCTCTTTAGGGATGCGCCGGCCCGAGCGCGGCTTGGCCCCCGAGCGCCGTGTCCGGGCTCGCCGGGGCCCGCCCGGTGCCGCCGGGAGCTGCTTCTGCCGCAGGACCCCGCGGCGCTCCAGCTCCCGCCGCCGCCGCACGAAGCTCTGGTGCTTTCGGCTCCCCGGCTCCTTCTTCGGGCGGCGCTCGGGGGCGGCGAAGTCCACGTTGAGGATCAGATCGTCCATGGCGGGGCCGCTGCGGGGCGGAGAGGAGCTCAGCGGCGGGGGCCTCGGTACCGGGAACCCCCGACAGCGGGACTCCCGGTACCGGCAACCCCCGACCCCCGGCACCGGCAATACCCGACCCCCGGGACTCCCGGTACCGGCAACCCCCGACCCCCGGCACCGGCAATACCCGACCCCCGGGACTCCCGGTACCGGCAATTCCTGACCCCCGGGATTCCCAGTACCGAGAACCCCTGACCCCCGGGACTCCCGGTACCGGCAATGCCCGATCCCCGGGAATCCCGATACCGGCAATGCCCGACTCCCGGTACCGGAGACCCCCAGTGTCACCCGCACCCCCTCACCTCCGCGTCCCGGAACCGGAAGTTTCCGGGAAACACGCGGCCGGCCCGGTGCCGGCAGTGACGTCATCCGCGCGCGCCGCGGCGGGAACTCGGCGGCGCCGGGAGCTGAGGGGCACGCGCGCGGCCGCGCGGCGTCTGCGTGACGTGTGTGATGACGTCAGATATACGTCAGGGAGCATGGACGACGACATGCCCGGTGTCCCGGCCGGCCCGGTGACGTCACGAGTGCCCGGGGGTGAGTGATGTCATGGCTCCGGGGGGCATCTCGGTGGGGTTGGAGGGTGGTGTCACAGCCGCGTGACGTCACGGCGGGACGCGTTCTCGCGTGACGTCACTGCCCGATGACGTCATATGGGTGCTGAATGGCAGGGGCACAGCCAGGGAGGGGTGACAGTGCCAGGGTGACGCTCCCCTGCCGCCCCAGGGGCCGCCATGGCTGCTGCCCCCCAGGGCCGCCCACAGCGCCCGGAGCAGCGGCGAGCCGCCGACATCATCCGCCTGCTGACGCTCTACCGGCCCCTGCTCGACGCCTTCGTCATTGTGAGTGTCCCGGAGCTGTGCCCCCTGCGACGTGACCCCAGGGCTGTGCCCACCGGGCTGTGCCCCCTTGGGCTCTGCCCCCTGAGTTGTGCCCCCTTGGGCTGTGCCACTCAGGCTGTGCCCCTTGGGCTCTGCCCCCTGAGCTATGGCCACCAAGCTGTCCCCCAAGCCTGTGTCCCTTGGGCTGTGTCACCCAGGTTGTGCCACCCCCAGGCTGTGCCCTCCCCAGGCTTTGCCATCCAGGCTGTGTCCCCCCGGGCTGTCCCCCAGGGCTGTATCCCCCAGACTGTGCCCTCCCCAGGCTTTACCCTCCAGGCTGTGTCCTCCAGGCGGTGCCCCCTAGACTGTGACCCCCGGGCTGTGCTCTCCCCACGCTTTGCCCCCCAGGCTGTCCCCCCCAGGCCGTGTTCCCCACGCTGACCCCGCTCCCCTTAGGATTTCTTCACCGAGGACCTGTGGGCACAGCTGCCCGCAGCCTGGCAGCCCGCCCTGGCCAGTGCCACCCCCGTGCAGCTGGCCGGGCTCCTGGGGGGCCGTGGGGGCCCGGGGGCTGCCTGGCCCCTGTCCCTGCTGGCCTTTGCCGCCGCTGCCCGCGCCCTGGCCTTCCCTCGGGGCTGCCCGTGCCCCCCGTGCCCGCCGTGCCAGAGCTCCCGGCTGCACCCGCTGCTGCGCCGCCACGTCAAGCCCAAGAAGCAGCACGAGATCCAGCGCCTGGGCAAGGTGGGTGCCCCTGGCTGTGCCCTGAGCCCCCCCGGCTGCCCCCAGCCCCCTAAGAGCCTCCCTTTCCCCCTAGCTGCTGCGGCGGCTGAGCCGCGCCACCGGCTGCCAGCGCGTGGTGGACGTTGGAGCGGGGCAGGTGAGAGACAGCGGGGGGACACCGAGCGGGGGGTCCCAGGGGATCCCCCCAGCCCAGCTGAGCTCGTGTCCCCCTCCAGGGCCACCTGTCCCGGTTCCTGGCCTTCGGCCTGGGGCTGGGGGTCACCGCAGTGGAGAGCGACGGGCGCCTGGTGGGCCTGGCCGAGCGCTTCGACCAGGAGCTGCTGCGGGAGCTGGGCAAGAGCAGGGCGCTGGCACACAGGGGGCACCCCCTCACCCCCCGTGCCCCCCAGCACATCGCCGGCCGCCTGGACCCCGCAGCTCCCTGGGGGGAGTTCCTGCTGCCCCCCGACCCCCCAGGACCCGGCCCAGCTGCCCGGAACCCGCTGGGGGGCCCGGGGGGCTCTGAGGACGGGGGGAGGGTGTTGGTGACAGGGCTCCACGCCTGCGGGGACCTCAGCCCTGCCCTGCTGTGCCACTTCGCCCGCAGCCCCGCCGTGGCTGCCGTGGCCTTGGTGGGCTGCTGCTACATGAAGCTGTCGACAGCCCCGCAGCAGCCCCCTGGCTACCCCCTGAGCGCCTCGGTGGCGGCGTTGCCGGGCCACCAGCTGTCCTACCGGGCACGGGAGGCCGCGTGCCACGCTCTGGAGGAGTACCAGGGGCGGCTGCGCGGGGGCAGCGCCCACCTGCGTGCCCACTGCTACCGCGCCGTGCTCGAGAGCCTGATCCGCGCCGCCGACCCCGGCAAGAGGCACCTGGGCCTGCAGCCGGGCAGGAAGGCACACACCCTCAGCTTCCCCCAGTGAGTCTGGGCACGGGGACCCCCTTCTGCATCCCCTGGTGGTCCCCAGTGAGCCCTTTCTGGGAGATCTGCTGGCCCTCCCTGAGTTTGGGGAGGGAGGATCCTTTTCTAGCCCCCCATGAGTTTGGGGAGGGAGGATCCTTTTCTGGAGCTCTCCTTGTGAGTTTGGGGAGTGGGGTCAACCTCCTGTGTCCCTTCCTGGCCCCAAGTGAGATTGGGGAGGGAGAACTCCTTTTTGGGACCCTCTTCCTGAGTGGTGTCAACCTCCTGTGTCCCCTCATGACCCCACAGTGAGTTTGGGGAGGGAGAACTCCCTTCTGGGACCCTCTTTATGAGTTTGAGAGGGAGGATCATTTTCTGGAACTCTCCTTGTGAGTTTGGGGAGTGGTGCCAACCTCTTGTGTCCCCTCATGACCCCACAGTGAATTTGGGGAGGGGGAACCCCCTTTTGGGACCCTCCTTTTGAGTGTGGGGATGGGGGAGCCCTGCCTGAGACTCCCCTGCCCCCGTTTTATGACAGATACGCCCAGCTGGGGCTGTCCCTGGCAGGCCTGGACCCAGCGGGGGTCCCGCTGGACTCGGGGGCTGTGGGGGCCATGCTGGAGCAGCAGCACAAGGTGGTGGCATTCTGCACCCTGGGGCAGCTTCTGGCACCTGCCGTGGAGACCCTCATCCTGCTCGACCGCCTGCTCTACCTGCGGGAGCAAGGTGGGCATGGGCACAGCTGCCAGGGCCCTCCTCCCCCTCCTTTTTCCTCTCTCCCTGGACCCCTCTCTCCGTTCTCCCAACTCTCCTTTTTCCCTTTTTCCCAGGTTTCCACTGTGCCCTCGTGCCCCTCTTCAACCCCCGGTTCTCCCCGCGGAACCTGGTGCTGGTGGCCGCACGCACCCCGCTGGCCACAGCGCTGGCCAAGGACGCTGAGGATGGGCACAGCAGCGAGGATGAGGATCTGGAGGAAGCAGAGTCCCCCAGGGAGGGGCAGAACCCACAATAAACCCAGGATTTTTACACTCCAGGGCTGGGTGTGAGTCTGTGCTACGCCAAAAGCACTGCGCACCACAAACAGCAAATCCAGGGGGTGTTTATTGCAGAGCCCGGCTCGGGGGGCTCCCAGCTCCCCCAGTTAATACCAGTAGGATTTCTTGGCCCGCCGTGTCTCCACGATGCCCATGGCATCCATGATCTCCTCCTCGAAGGTCTTCAGCGACGGCCGGTACGTCTTGGCCAGCGCGTCCTCCTTCGACGTGTCCTTGGGGCCATCTGTGCGGGCAAGGGGACAGCGCTGACCCCCACTGTGTCCCCTGCCACGTGCCACCACCCCCTGTGCCACCCCTCTCACCGATCCACTGCTCGGGGACGATGCCATCCTTGCGTGGCTGCGGGGGCACGGGCAGGATGCGGCCGCTGCGCAGCGACACGCGCACGCGCTCGCCCTCCTCCGTGTACCTCCACTCCACCTCCGTCGGCTTCCTGCGGGCACGGGGCGTTGCTGGGGGGCAGGACTGAGGCTGGGGGTCCCCCCAGCACCCCCCGGGCTTTACCGGTCCTCGGGGTCCACCAGGCAGATCTGGCTGAGCAGCAGCGGCGCCTCGCTGGCGACGTAGGTCCCCGAGTACTTGGCCGTGCGGTTGACGTAGCGATAGTGCTGCGAGGGCACCACGGGGGTCACGGATGGCCCGCGGGCCCCCAGCCTCCCCCACAGGCTGCAGGGCCTCCTGCTGCCCTCCCCGCCGCGGCCTCACCGTGTTCAGTCCTTCCACCACCACCCAGTTGCGGTCTCGCACCACCTGGGTGACCATGCCCTGCCTGCCCGCGTCCTTCCCGGCCAGCAGCTGCACCTGCGGCGGAAAGAGGGGCACAGGTGGGACCCCAGCCCAGCTGCCAGCCAGGGGGGGAGCCCGGGGAGGGGGAGCCTCACCGTGTCACCCTTGAACACCTTCCAGTCGTCCTTGGCGACGGGCTCCACGAAGACCTTGCGGCGGCGCTGCCCCGGGGGGTTGCGGAGCCGGGCGGCCATGGAGTCGGGGGGCCACGTGCCGTGCCGGTAGCCCGGGGGCAGCCGCGGCCGCGCCGCGCTCAGCAGGACCGAGAGCCGCATGCTGCTGCGGACTGGGAGGTCAGGGGGGGCTCTGTGAACACCCCTCATCCTCGCCAGGGTCGTGTGTGGACAGGTGTAGGGGTCCGGCAAAGCCCACCCACCCTGAGCCCCCCCTGAAGGGGATGGAAGCGTCTGGCAGAGCAGCCCCCCACAAAAGGGATCCCAGAGATTGTCACCCCCCACACCCCCAAAGGGGACCTGGTCCCCAGCAGATCCCCACAGCCTAAAGGGGATCCAGGTGCTGGCAGATCCCTTAACCATGGAGGGACCCAGCGATCCCACAGGGCACCCCCACACAAAGGGGACCCCGGTGTCCTGCAAAGCACCGGGACTCCCAGCGGGGACCGCAGAGCCCCCCACTCCCCAAAGAGACACACACACATCTTCCCCTTTCCAGGGGGGAACACCCCCCAAGAGCACCCGGGGTCCCACAGAGCTCAATCCCCCAAAGGGCACACGGACATGGACAGAGCCTCCCCCACCCCCGAGGGGCCCCATGGACACCCCAAAGACCCCCTGACTCCCAAAGACCCCCATTACTCCCAAACACCCCCCTGACTCCCAAAGACCCCCCCGACTCACAAAGGCCCACATTACTCCCAAAGACCCCCCTGACTCCCAAAGGCCCCCATTACTCCCAAAGGCACCCTGCTCCCAAAGACCCCCTGACTCCCAAACACCCCCTGCTCCCAAAGATCCCCCTGCTCCCAAAGGCCCCCATTACTCCCAAACCTCCATTACTCCCAAAGGCCCCCCTGACTCCCAAAGGAACCCGCAGAGCACACACCCCCTCCACCCCACCAGGAACGACACCCAGGCGTCCCGCACAGCCCCGGTCGCCCCCAAAGGACCCCAAGGCCCGGCAAACCCCTCCGGTAGCCCGGAAAGGCCCCGCAGAGCCCCGCGGGGGTCCCGGCCCCCTCCCCGCTCACCCGCGCCGCTCCCGCGCTCCGGGGGCGTGGCCGAGCGCGGTGGGCGTGGCCAAGCCGCGGCGCTGTGGAGGTCGCGGGGGGTGATGCTCGGCGCTGGGCACGCCGGGAGTTGTGGTCCAGGCGCTGGGCACGCCGGGAGTTGTGGTCCAGGCGCTGGGCACGCCGGGAGTTGTGGTCCTGGCGCGGGGCACGCCGGGAGCCGTAGTTCCACCGCCCCTCCGGCCCCCCAGCCAGGCCGCAGCCCCGGCCCACGGTGAGCGGCTGCCGGGAGCTGTAGTCCGGCCACGGCTCCATCTTCTGCTGCTGTCCTTCCTGCTCCCGGGGCTGGTCCAGGGACAAGGGACAGTCTCTGCCGTCCCCTCTGCAGGGAGCCGGCCCAGTTTGGCCTGTCCTGTCTGGGCTGTGTGTGGGACAGAGCGGCCAAGAACGGTCACGGCCCCACGCCTGACACAGCTCATGGAGCGCTTGGACACGGCCCTTGGGCACAGGATGGGATTTCAGGGTGCCCAGAGCAGGACTCGATTATCCTGATTACTCCTGGTCAGGGTATTCCACCATTCCAGCATGGAAGCCGAGTGCTTGAACAAGGTTCTAGGACATTTGGGTTGGGAGCATTTTGGGGTGTCCTGTGCAGGGCCCAGAACTGGACTCGATTATCCTGATGGGTCCCTTCCTGCTCAGGATATTCCACCATTCCAGCAGAGAAGCTGAGTGCTTGGACAATGCTCTAGGACATTTGGATTGGGAGCATTTTGGGGTGTCCTGTGCAAGGCCAGACCTCGATGGGGTCCCTCCCAGCTCAGGATATTCCAAGATCCTTAAGGTCAAGGAGTGTTAGAGAATGCTGGGATTTTGAGGTGCTGTGTGCAGGGCCAGCAGTGAGATTTGATCCTTCTGTGCCCCATCCAGCTCAGGGCATTCTGTGATTCTGTAATTCCTATTTTAGCTCCCCTCCAAACCCTTCCCCTGCCCCAGCCCCATGTGCTCACTCCCCCCACCCCAGAGGGGCTCTGGCAGCCCAAAAGGCCCCAAAACCCCCCATGCAGGGGGGTCCAGGGGCTAACCCAGGTCCCACAGGCGCTTTTAAAAAGGCAAGATTCGCTTTTATTTCAAATCACCAGCTGAGCCCCGAGGAATCGCTAACACAAAGCGTGCGCCCACAGCGGGGCAGGCACGGAGCGCTCGGGGCAGTACCGGGCTGCTCTGCATTCCTCTTTTTTTTTTTTTTTTCTTTTTTGTAGTTTTTTTTTCTTTTGGAAATTTCCTTGTCGGGGTGGTTTCTCTAGTCCGGAGCTCCGGACGCGACGAGCCGGCGTGGGGCAGAACCCAGGAGCCAGCAGGGAAGGATCAGCTCGCCAGGGAAGCCACTACAGGCTGTGGGGGGCCAAGAAGAGAGCCAGGCTCTTGTCAGACCCCTGTGGTGCCAGGGGGGCCCCCAAAACCTGGAGGCTGTGGGGATAGGGCTCACAGGACCAGCCTCACCTCTCCTTGTGGTCTCTGACCTCCTCCTTGCCCTCCTGCTTGGCCTCGTTGGTGGCCGGTGTGTCAGCAGCGTCGCTGTTCTTGTCCCCCTCTCCTGGGTTGGCTTTGGGCTCCTCCTTGGGGGTCTCTTCGTTGGCCACCTTCTTGTCCCCTTCCTGCCCCTCTGCATCCTTGGGGCGTTTGGGGGAGTCCTGGGAGGGGAACTCAGGTCAGACCCTGTCCCCAACAGCCCCTGCCCCCAACATCCCCATCCCTGTCCACAACATCCCCTGACCCAAAAATCTGCATCCCCTGCCCCCAACATCCCCATCCTGTCCCCAACATCCTCATCGCTGCCCCCAACATCCCCATCCCTGTCCCCAACAGCCTCTGACCCAAAAATCTGCATCCCCTGCTCCCAACATCCCCATCCCTGTCCCCAACAGCCTCTGACCCAAAAATCTGCATCCCCTGCCCCCAACATCCCCATCCCCTGTCCCCAACATCCCCTGTCCCCAACATCTCCATTCCCTGTCTCAAACAAATATCCCCAGCCCCTGTCCCAAAAATCCTGTCCCAAACATCCCCAGCCGCTGTCCTGTCCCCAACACCCCCTGTATCCAGCATCTCCAGCCCCAGTCCCAAACATTCCCACTCCCTGTCCTCTGTCCCCAACATCCCCTATCCCCAATATCTCCATTCTCTGTCCCCAACATCCCCTGACCCAAAAATCTTCATCCCCTGCCCCCAACATCCCCATCCCCTGTCCCCAACATCCTCATCCCCTGTCTCCAACATCCCGTCCCCAACATCTCCATTCCCTGTCCCCAACATCCTCATCCCGTCCCCAACATCTCCATCCCCTGTTCCAAAAATATCCCCAGCCCCTGTCCCAAAAATCCTGTCCCCAACATCCCTATCCCAGTCCCAAACATCCCCAGCCGCTGTCCCCTGTCCCCAACATCCCCTGTCCCCAGAATCTCCATCCCCTGTCCCCAAAATCTCCATCTCCTGTCCCCAACATCTCCATCCCCTGTCCCCAGAATCTCCATCCCCTGTCCCCAACATCTCCATCCCCTGTCCCCAACATCTCCATCCCCTGTCCCCATCATCCCCATCTCCTGTCCCCAACATCCCCTGTCCCCAAAATCTCCATCCCCTGTCCCCAACATCCCCTGTCCCCAATATCTCCATTCTCTGTCCCCAACACCTCCAGCCCCAGTCCCAGCATCCCCATCCCCTGTCCCCATCATCCCCATCCCCTGTCCCAAACATCCCCATCTCCAGTCCCCAACACCCCCAGCCCTGCCCAGCCCACCCAGTACCTCCAAAGCATCCTCAGCTTTCCTCTTGATCCCTCCTTTCTCGTTCTTCTCCTTGGACTGCTCGTCGATCACCAGCTTCCCCTCCTCGTCGCTGCTGCCCTCAGCGTTGCTCTTCTTCTCCCCGTCCCCCTCCGGCTCCCGCTCGGCCGCCTCGGGGCAGCTCTTCTTCTGGGTGGGCTGTGGGCAAGGGGGGGTCACAGGGGGCCCCCAGGAAGGAGGAATGGCGGGGGGAGGTGGGATGGAGCCCCCCCAGCTCGTGACCCACCTGGTAGCCGGAGGCTTTGACCGTGGGGTTGTTCTCGATCTCCCACAAACCTTCGCTGAACCCTTTCCGCTTGTTGGGTTTTCCAAACTTCTCCTTGCACTCCTCATAGGGGAAGAGGTCTTTGGGCCCCAGGAATGCCCTGTGCCAGGGGGAAACAGTGAGGGGTGGGAGCAAGGGGGGGTCTCACCTCTCCCAAACTCACTGTGAGCCCCAGCTCCCACTCACGTTTCGTGGGTCCCGAAGAAGAAGACTTGGTACTTATTGGAGGAGGATTTGACTGCAGCTTCTGGCATCTCATCAATCTGTGTGACACAAAGGACAGGGTGACAGGAGAGGGCAGAGACCCCTGGGGCTCCTCAGACTCCAGGACATCCCCCCACCCCCTCCAGTGTCCTGTGATGGGCACAGCTCAGGAAAGGAAAATTCCTTGGGAATTCCCCCACTGTCTGGAGACAGTGCTGGCAAGAAGTGCTCAGCAGAACAAGTGGGTGCCCACCGGGCTCCCCTTCTCCCACCCCTTCATCCCCTTAAGCTCCAGTCTAGGCCAGCTCAGACACACTCAGCAAATTCAGGCACTGCCAGTGGTGCCACAGCTCCTCAGACCCCAGAACATTCCCCCACCCACCCTCTCCAGTGTCCTATGGATGGGCACAGCTCGGGAAAGGAAAATTCCTTGGGAATTCCCCCACTGTCTGGAGACAGTGCTCAGCAGAACACGAGGTTGTGCCCCCAAGGTGCACCCAGGTGTGGGGACCAGCAGGGCTCCCCTTCTCCCACCCCCTCCTCCCTTAAGCTCCAGTCTAGACCAGCTGATTCACACTCAGCACATTCAGGCACTGCCAGCGGTGCCACAGGCATCGCCCCCAGCCTGGGCCAGCAATGGGATTGGGGTGCCTGGGGGGGACACCCTGGCCAAAACGGGGTCACCAGACAAGGGGACAGCCTGGAGAGGGCTCTGGGGTCACGCAGCAGCCGGTGCCAAGCCCACAGGCAGGTGCTGCTCCACCGAGCGTGAATAATCCCGAGGCGCCAAGCGGGAAGGGAGCGAAAGCAACTCCGGCTGCTTTTTATAGCATCTAAAAATAACCCCCCCTGCAGCCAGCAGCCATAAATTCCCCGAGAAAACCTCCAAGGGAGGTGGAGGGAGCTGAAGGAGGATGCGGGTGGGGGTCTCGGGGCAGGCGCCAGCACGTCACCGGGCTGGAAGGTGCCAGCGGGGACGGCCAGGATGCCAGGTCCCGCTCCCAGCGCTCTGCTGACTCATGGCACAACCTTCCCTAAGTCACCATGACCCCCACAGCTTGCCCAGCCTCAGTTTCCCCAGCCAGCAGGGCCGGGGTGCTGTGACAGGGTGGATCTGGCCAAGAGTTTCTCCTGATTTCCTTCGCAGAGCTGGGGATGGGGCTAACACTGGTCCCTGTGCTGAGGGGCAATTTTGGCACAGCCCCGGGGCAGACGGAGGGGATGGGGTACTGGGAGGGGCACTGGGATGTGGTGGAGGCTTGGAGTGATGTCCCACTCCTGGGTGGGACGTGCCTTTGTGCCATCCCCACTGCCCAAATGTGGTTTGGGGCATCCAGGCCCTGCACCAGGATCCAGGGGGAGTTTCAGGACTGAAGTGCTCCCACCCACCCGGAGCCCTGGGGCTCCTGGCACTGTCATGCCCCAATGCCACCGGGGGACATTCCAGGAGCAGGGACAATCCCCAGCGGGACCCTGGCCCATGGTGGCAGCTGGGAGCAGCAGCTCCATCCCTGCGTGGCACCGAAGGTGGAGGAGGGGATGATGTGACTCAGAGGGGCGGCCACCAGCCCGGCCCAGCCCAGCCCGGCCCAGCCCAGCCGGGGGATGGTGCTTCCCCCAGGCCACTTTCCTGCAGGTCACTCCTGGCACAATGTGCCACCAGCCCCAGGGCCCCCCAGGCCAGGACATGGTATCCCAGACCCTCCCCCACCAGGCCTGGACAGGGATCCCACAGCCCCTGGCAGGGCCAGGACCCTGATGGAGATCCCCCAGCAAGTTTCCAAGTCTCCTTCCCCAAGGAAAGGCAGCACGGGCAGCAGCTCCAGCCATGGCTGCCCTGTGTCACCATGTCCCCAGCCCAGGAACCCAGGGGCTCCGTGGGAGAGCTGGGACCCCCGGCAGTGGGATTCCCTGCACAGCCCATTGTTGCCAACCCTTTATCAGCCCCTCCTGCACCCCCAGGGGATGTGGTGGCTCTATCTGCACGGCCAGGCGGGGACCGGGCTGCGGGGACACGGGTGACACCCCACTGGGGACACCGATAGTGCAGACACTGCAAACCCACCCAAAAACCCTGGGCTGCCCAGAGTGCCCCAGGGCTGGTGGCACTGTCACAGCCCGTGTCTGTTTGTCCGTCCCTGTCGCTCGCTGGACAGTGGCAGCAGAGGGAGACAGGGCTGCAGTGCCAGGGTAAAGTCCACGGTGCCCATTTCTGTCCCCCCGCCAGCCCCTGGGAATGGCACTGGTGTCACAGCCTGGACCTGCACCTGGGGGCTGGGGGGGTCTGAAAATAGGCTGGGACAGGTCCCCCAGGAGGGGAAGCTCTGGAGCGTGGCAGGGGAGGGACGGGCACGTACCCCTGCTCTGGACTCTGCCCCCAACCTCTGCTCTTCACCTTTGCCACGGCTCCACGGAGCACGGCTGGATGCAGCCTGCCCTGCACCGGCCATGGGGGCTGGGAGCAGCTCCCTCCCTGCCTCAGTTTCCCCGCTGCAGGACAAGGCTGGCAGTGAGGGCTTGGCTGTTGGGAAGAGGAATTAATTAATGAATGGAATTAACTCATGTGGGTCACACACGGTCGATGAAGCACGTGGGGAGGGGGCACATGCAGTGGGTGGGGGTCCTGTGGCACCCCTGAGTCCCATCCCCAGGGCTCTCCTCAGCCCTGGGGCCACCACTGGGCCCCATCCCAGCACCAGGCTGGCAAGGGGCACCAAATTACCTGGAATGGCCAGCAGGATCCCGACCCCAGGCACAGAAAGGAGAACAGGAGATGCTCAGGGAGGGGGATGTCAGTGGTGCCAGGATCCCGACCCCAGGCACAGCCAGGAGAACAGGAGATGCTCAGGGAAGGGGGATTTCAGTGGTGCCAGGATCCCGACCCCAGGCACAGCCAGGGGAACAGGAGATGCTCAGGGAAGGGGGGATGTCAGAGGTGCCAGGATCCCGTGTGGCACTGCTGCCTCATCCCCTGCCGTGCTCCAAGGCTGTCCCGGAGCTCTGTACAAACAGGGGCTGCAGATCTGGCAGGGAAGCACCACCAACCAGGGTCTGGCACAAGGGACCCCGCAGAGAAGGGGTGAGGGGGAAAGGGAGGCAAGCATCATCCTCCAGCTGCCAGCGACTCATGTCCCCACTCTCGTGCCTCAGTTTCCCCTCTGTTTAACGCTGCCCCTCTCAGGGAGAGGTTTCCCCTGAGCTGCTGGTGCTGGGGAGCAGTGCCAGGTGCCACCCCCATCCATTTCTTCCCCTATCTCTCAGCTCCAGCCACACCTGGCTGGAAACAAATATCCCAGCAAACGCCACGCGTGGCCGGGTAACGTTTCATCACAGCACCTGATTAGTCACGGGCAAGCCCTGCCTGATTAGTCACGGTGGGGAGGGCTGCGCTCCAACCCCCCCTCGGTCAAACCTGGCCTTGGGGAACCCAATTCCTATTCCCTGCCTGGCCCAGCACCCCAAAAACGTGATGGTGTTGGCCGAACCAGGCGCCGGGAGATGAGTGGGGCGTGAAACCCGAGCGGGGCTGGCGCTAATTCGGGAGCTGAGCCCGACACGAGGCTTTGCGAGCCCCGAGCTGGCAGCAGCCCGGAGCGGGACCCCGGGGCAGCGCTGGGGGCCGGGGGAGCACGGCTGTGCCCCCGAGGGAAGCTGCGGTGGAAAAGCAGGCGGCGGTGGAAGCAGGGCTCCCAGGGATCCCTGTGGCTCCTCCTCGCAAAGCCGCTTTCAAATGCGCGTTGGGAGGCCAGTGCCAAATCCGAGCGGCTCCCAACCCCCTCCCGGCCTCCCCGCCAGAAGCCGACAAACCAAACAAAAGTTATTCAAATCCGGGAGGGGAAGGAGGAGGGGATGGGGGGGACGGGGGGGGGATCATCGGCCTTTAAAGCCCATCGCCCCATTCCTCCCTTTTTCCGCTCAGTTTGGGGGCTCCAGGCAGCCCCAGTGCCCTTCGCAGCAAGGCCGGGAGGGGAGTGTGTGTGTGTGTGTGGGGGGGGAACACGTCAAGGAAATTTTAAACTGCATCATCAACCGCTTAAAAATAACCAGCGCCGTGTTGTGCAGCCAGAGCTGCCCACGGCCCTGACGGCTTTGGGTTCATCCCGGGGGTCCCGGGCTCATGGCAACGACCCCCCCCGCCCCCAGGGACACCCAGGACCCTCCGGGGGACACCGGCGGGGCCTGGACCCCCCCTCCCTCCCCGTATGCACTGCCCCCCCTTCCCCCCGTCCTAAGTCCTCAATAATTCTATCGATTTTCTAAAGCCAAACTCCCGGCGAGCGCTGCCACCTCTCTGGCACCCGTGGCGAGAGGTAAGGCCACCAAGAGCCGGGTGACACGCTCGGGGACCTGCCGGCGAGCCCAGGGCGGGGGGGTTTGGTTGAAACCCCCCAGCCCAGCTCCCCCAAATTATCCGGGGGGGCGACCTGGCTCCTCCAGGGGGTCTCGCAATGGAGCGAGGTGCGGCCCCACGTGGAATAGGGACCCCCCCGGTACCGAGGGGGGGGTCACCCCGGGGAGGAGGGGTCACCCCGGGCTGGCCCAGCCTCGTGTTCCGCTGCCGGTGCCCGGCAGGCACAAGGGGGGTCCCCACTCCCACGCGGTGGCAGAAGCCACGCGGTCTCCACCCGTGACCCCCCCCCAGCCCCACCGGGAGAAAAATGAATAAACAGCACAAAAAGGGCCCGGGGGAGTCCGGGACGTTGTTCCCAACATATAAAATCCACCCCAAACCCAAAGAAACGTCCCGAAAGCGCCTCCCCAAAAGCTCGGTACCGAATAACCCCCGAGTCCGCCGGGCCCGGCCTTACATAAGGGACCGGCAAAGTTGGACCCCGGCCCCGGTGGAGGGGACCGGGGGGGGACTGAAGGCTGACCCCCGTGCGGACACACCCCCCCGCCGGCCCACGGGGGCAGCCTGACCCCGGTGCGCCCCCTCCCCCCATCCCCGGGGCACCGCGTTATGCAACGGGGAGCACCGGGGGGGGCACCGGGGGGTCCCATCGCCCCCCCACCCCTTGCCCAGCTCCTTACCCGGGCAGGCCAGTGCGGGTAACCCTTCATCTTGGCGAAAACCAGGTCCCCGCATTTGTATTCCTTCTGCCGGTTGGACCGGGACATCTTGGCTGGCGGCTCCTCCCGGGACCGGGGGAGCGGGCGGGGGGAGGGGGNCCACCCTTCCCCTTCCTCCTCCTCCTCCTCCTCTCCTCCTCCTCCTCCTCCCGCTGCCGGTGGATGCGCTCGGCGCTCGCGGGCGATGCCTGGGCGCGCACACGCACCGCCCGCCCACGGCGCCGTGCGCGCACCCGGCACCCCCCAAAAAAAAAACCCCAAAAAACCCCCAAAAATGTGTTTTGAAACACTGTAAATAACCAGTGCAAATAACCGGTGTAAAAGAGCACCAAAATGGTGTCAAAAACATGTAAAACAGTGCAAAAGTGGTTTTAAACCCATGCAAAAATGGTGTTAAAACCATGTAAAACAGTGGAAAACTATATTGTGAAAGCCAGGTGGAAAACGGTGTAAAACACTGGAAATAACCAGTGTAAAACAGCACCAAAATGGTGCAAACCCCTGTAAAACAGTGCAAAATTGGCATAAAGATGTGTAAAAACGTAAAACAGTGCAAAACCATAATGTGAAACCATGAGAAACGGGTGTAAAACATTTCATAACCAGCATAAAACAGCACCAAAATGGTGCAAAACCCTGTAAAACAGGGCAAAACTGGCATAAAATGGTGTAAAACAGTGCAAAACTGGCATAAAGATTTATAAAACAGTCCAAAACTGGTTTTAGATCAGTGCAAAACAGTGCAAAAGATATGTGAGACAGTACAAAATGGATGTAAAGCTATGTCAAATTTGCTGTACAACAGCATGCATGGTGAAACCGTGTAAAACACTGTAAATAACCAGTGTAAAACAGCACCAAAATGGTGTAAAAAGCAGGTAAAACAGTGCCAAACTGGGGCAAAATCGTCTAAAATGGAGCAAAATTGGCAGAAAGATTTATAAAACAGTGCAAAACTGGTTTTAAACCAATGCAATACTGAGACCTGTGTAAAGCTGTGTCAAATTTGCTGTACAACATCATGCATGGTGAAACCGTGTAAAACACTGTAAATAACCAGTGTAAAACAGCACCAAAATGGTGTAAAAAGCAGGTAAAACAATGCCAAACTGGGGCAAAATCGTGTAAAACGGAGCAAAATTGGCAGAAAGATTTATAAAACAATGCAAAACTGGTTTTAAACCAATGCAATACTGTGAGACAGTGCAAAACCAGTGTAAAGCTGTGTCAAATTTGCTGTACAGCAACATACATGGTGAAACCGTGTAAAGCAGTGCAAAACCCAGCATAAAAAGATGTAAACCCAGTGTAGCAGCATCCCTAAAATCCCACATCCTGGCTGCAGATGGATACTTGAGAGAAGAGCCTTTGGAAAGAGGGAAAATCAAGAATTTGGTGCCCACACGGGGTCCCCTCGGCCAAGCTGCCCCATTCCCCCCCAGCAGAAAAATGAATTTTTCTTTAGAAACTGCAGAGCCTGGGCTGGAGTTTTTTTTTTGCTCAGGGCACGTGAAAATCTCTGGAAAACCTCTGGAAAAATCTCTGGATGCCTGGGGAGGAGGTTTGGGCCCTAGCCAGGCTCAGCTTGGGGGTACAGGGTGACAAAGCCAGCAGGAGATGAAATAAATTGTCACCTTAAATAAATTGTTACCTTCAATAAATAAACGGTCACCTTCAATAAATTGTCACCTTTTGGATGCTGCTGTCCAACCAAACCTGGGATTAAACCCAGATTAAATCGTTTGTGAAAGCAGAACCTCCACCCTGACCTGGCAGTCGGGGTTCCTGGGCTGGGCTCTTTTCTTTCCATCCCCTCGTGCTTTCTTTGGCTTAATTTCTCCTAACGAGCTGCAAATAATACAAATAAATAAGTAATAATACAAATAAATAATCCACAGGGTCAGGGCTGAGAGCAGGATCCTACTGATGTTCTGGGAATCCAGGAATCTCCACCTGCTAGGGGAAAATGGACAAAGGGAAACAAGGGTTTGTGAAAAAAAAGCTGATTGCTTGGGTTTAAAATCTTAAAAGTTTAATAGTTATAAAATTGTCATGGATTGATTTTGGTGTAGTGTCAGTGTTTTTATGAAAGGTGGGTTTTTAAAATGGTTACTGTGAGATGTGACTTGGAAATAGAATAAAGCAGGTTTTAATTTGGGAATGGAGGGGGAAAAAATAACACTTTATTAATTTATATAGATATAAAAAGGAAAAAAAAAGAAAGAAAACACACATAATAATCTATAATGGAATATTTTTAAAACATTCTTCTCCCTACTTTTTTAATATTCAAGTTTTCTTTAGTATTCAATTTTCAGTCTAATTTTTTTTTTTTTTACACAAGTTCTTTCTAGTTTATTAGGACAGAGGAGTTGGTGTTTTTTTTTGTATTATGGGTTTCTCTAGGAAACATAGAATTTTTTGTGTTTTTATGTTGTATGTGGTAGTTGTTTGAAGAGAAATTTGTTATGGTGATTATTTTTTTTAATGTCTAGTGGTTTTACTACTGTCTATGGATTTCAACTATTTTTTAGGGTTTTTTTAAAGAATGTATTATTTAGTTTTAAGCAGACGGTCTTTTCTTACTATTTGGGATGCCTGTCCCCCCTATATTTATTTTCTTGGGGCTTGGGGTTCAGGATCAGAGAGGGTTAGGGTTAAATGGGTTAAAAACGATAAAAATGGTTATAAAAATAGTAATGAAATTAGAGTAATAAAAATTTGGACATTTAGCGTTCAGATAATATGAGACAATAAAAATAAAGAGTTACAGACAGTCCAGGTACCTTTTTCTGGGTAAAATAAGCCTGAAAAAGGAGACACATTAACTTTTAAAAGTTAATTGCATATTCATACATTTTGTACATGATGGATAAATTCTATTTAAACAAAGGAGTTTGTTTGGTCGGTGTTAACTTCTTCTTGTGAAAAATGCCAATAACTTGTTTTGAAAGTTTTAAAAGTTTAATAGTAATAAAATTGTTATAGTAATGAGATTACAGTAATAAAAATTTGGACAATTAGGGTTAGGATAATAGACAATAAAGAGTTAGGGACGGTTCAGGTATCTCTTTCTGGGTAAAATAAGCCCGAAAAAGGATCCACGTTAACAGATGATTAACTTTTAAAATAACAGTTTGTTGCATATTCATACATTTCGTACATAATGTATAAATTCTACTTAAACAAAGGATTTTGTTTGGTCAGTGTTAACTTCTTAATCTTGACGGTGTTTTTAGGGCTGAGCAAGGTAGGAAGAAGTTAGTTTTTTCTGATAAGGGAGCAATAAATTCTTTATTTTTTGAAAGATTTAGGTGTTTTGTGGCCGTTATTTTGGTGTGAGTACTTTTATTTTTCTCTTTAAAAAAGTATCTTACATAGCACAGTTTCTATGTTATAACTTAAAACTACATTTAACACACTACTTAAGGAAATGAATACAGCGCAATTTCGTAACATATGCAACATTTATTTTAATTTTTTGCGAAAAGCCAATCATAAAACACTCATTTTTCACATGGGGGGAAAACGGAACTGGTGTGCCCCAGCTCCTGGAATGCTCCTGGCGCTCCCCAAGGCCTCGGTGCCTATTTTTAAAGCTGTATTTTTAACACTGCTCAGCCCTGCAGAGCTGGCAGGGGCACGCTGGATTTCCCACCGCTCAGGGTTCAGGATACTCTCCTCATTTACCTGCATTTTGCTTTAATTACTTGTGCTGGTACCTCACAGCAGCTCTGCACTTCCCCGCTGTCTGGAACCCAAATTCCATACAGCGCAATTTCGTAACATATGCAACATTTATTTTAATTTTTTGCGAAAAGCCAATCATAAACCACTCATTTTTCACATGGGGGAAAACGGAACTGGTGTGCCCCAGCTCCTGGAATGCTCCTGGCGCTCCCCAAGGCCTCGGTGCCTATTTTTAAAGCTGTATTTTTAACACTGCTCAGCCCTGCAGAGCTGGCAGGGGCACGCTGGATTTCACACCACTCAGGGTTCAGGATACTCTCCTCATTTACATGCATTTTGCTTTAATTACTTGTGCTGGTACCTCACAGCAGCTCTGCACTTCCCCGCTGTCTGGAACCCAAATTCCAGCGCAGCTCGCCGCTTTATTAAGGCCAGAACGAGCCAGAAGGAGGCCAAAGGCGTCAAACCAAAAATCAGCGAAGCGCAGGGAGGACAAGCCGGCTCTCTGCCAGGCCTCCCGCGTTCCGGCCCGGCAGCTCCTGCTGGGGCTGGCAGCTCCGATCCTACCCCAAACCATGCCAGGAGGAGAGGATGGAAGGCAGGCAGAGCCCGCAGGCCCCGCTCGGTGTCACTGCACCGGGAACACGCCGGGAGCGGCGGTCGCAGCTCGGGGCTGTGTTTGGCAATGAATCGAGCGCTCTGGAGGGGTTGGGTTGGGTCCTTCTGCCTCCCTCATCTCCATCCTCATCCCCTCACCCGTCCCCAGCGGCCTTCCCGCATCCCCGCTGTGCCCGGGCCTTGTCCCGCTCCCTCCCCGGGGGTCCCGCCGCGTGGCACCGCAGACTACATTTCCCGTGGTGCCTCGCGGCGGGGCACACAGGGAGGCGGGCACGGCGATGCTCGCAGAGCACGCCGGGAGTTGTAGTCCTGCGCGGCTGCAGGGCGGGCAGCGGGGCGCTGCCGGCAGCCATTACCGGGAGCGCGGAGCCGCCGCCGTCGCCTTGCCTCGCTCCGCGGCCCCGCCGCCGCACGGGGAGGGGCCGCCATGGCGGCGTAGCCTCGCCCCCGCCCGCCCTTTCTTCCCCCGCTGCGGGCGCTGAAGGCGCGGCGGCGGTGCGGCCTAGCGCGGAGGGTGGATCCCCGGCCTCGCGTAGCGGCTGCTGCCCGCCAAGGGCCGCCCTCCCCGGGGCCATGTCCCTCGTGGCCTACGCCAGCAGCGAGGAGGACAGCGATGCCGAAGAGCCTGCGGGCGAAGAGGAGGAAGCCGCCGACTCTCCCCCAGCCGCAGCCGAGCAGCCCTCATCCCGGGGGCTTTTCGCCGCGCTGCCCCCGCCCAGAGCCCCCGCGGTGCCCCCGGCGTTCCTCATGGGCCCCCCGCCCACCCTGAGCGGCTTCGGCGGCG